CCCTCCCTCCCTCCAACTGGCCTCTAAGAGGATTGGCTGCTCTCATCTCCCGATGACATCTGTGTATCGCTGTCCTGAGAGAGCAAAACACAGTGAGGCTGGGTGTTGTTTTGCCAGCAAGATAGCAACACCGAGCGCACGTATCCCCCATTTCGGCACTTTCCATCCGCAACGCCTCATCCCATCCTCTGCCGTCTGTCACCGTGGCGACGTAGCCCCTGCAGCCATGGCGACAAGCCAGCAGGATTCCGGCTTCTTCGACATCAGCCTCAAGTCACTGCTCAAGTCCTTCGCCGGCAGTGAGTAACACCCAGAAATGACAGCTCGAAAGGCGTACTACTTCTTGCGTATTTTCAGTTTGGCAGTCTGGACAGGAGCGTGTCACGGCGTTGAGCCGCTTTGTGAAATGCGCTGACAGCGGATGAGGAGTGAGCCGAGGATACGGTGGATAGTGCTCAGCACTTTGCTATGTTAATTATATAGCACTTCATTGACATCACGGTGGACCGAGGTTGTTGTAGTTCGGAAAAATGAACAAAATAGTGGGAACTGGGGAAAAAAAAAAAAAAAACGAAACTAAAATAGGAGTTAAAAAAAAACTGGTTATGAATCTCATTCAAAATGGAACTTGAGCCAAATGTTTGTCAATATCTTTCATCCATAAGCTTTTTGGGTGGGTTTGCAATATGTTTTGGCTTTGCCAACAACTTTGGCTTACGTTGGGATATTGATCTGTATTTTTGGTGTGATTTTAACCAGATACGCTCTCTGCATCATCTAGGCGGCCATACTACTCTGAGAAAGCCCAATCTCATCTGATCTCGGAAGCCAAACGGGGTCAGCCGTGGTTATTACATAGATGGGATACCGACTGTGAATCCTGTTCCGTCGGCTTACCAAAGAGAAAGATGCTCATTTAAAGTTGCACCTGCCTCAAGCCTGCATGCATACAAAGGGTTGGAATCAGCAAGGTTATCTGTCAATGAAAATCTATGCCAAAACCTCATCTCCCTCCCCACCAAAAAAAAACCCAGCAGCCTTGAATTCGGGAAAACAGCTGATTGTCTCTGTTTCCTATTCAAAATATCACTGCCAGCTTTGACAAAGGTATCTTTCGGGACTAGTCTCAGCTCCAAGGTCAAATGGACGGAAAGATCAAATGTCTTATCAAGCCCAATCGCCGCGTAAACAGCCGACGGCATCATGCCGGCCGTGCCGAAGTAACAATCGCACGTCATCGTGCGCGCACAAACCGAGGATGGTGACTCACGTTCCGTGCCGCGGTTGATCCAAATGCTTCCGTGTCTTGTGTGAAGTCTGGATGGTATCGCAAATGGAAAGATTTGGTCTCTTCTTCAAGAAAGAAGCTCAGGTTGCTCAGTGGTGTTTTGTCGTCATTTTTTTTTTCCCAGCCTTCCACCTTGCCATACACCCACGGGGACATACCTGACATTTGTTTTTGACTGTGAGATAGATCACGTTAGCTCACAAGTCTTGCGAGCGGTGATTCATCACGTCTGCGTGACGTGAACGTTACCTCACCGTGCTTATCTGTGGCTTCTCCATGAGCTTCCCTCCTTTATTTCCTCTTTCCTCTTCGTGGTGTAAGCGTCTCATTTTCTCAGCAGAAACCAACAGAGCAGGCCTGTTGATCGTTTCTGTTGGTCGGTCGCCTAAACGGGCTGCGATAGAAAGCGAGAAAGAGATGCTTTACAACATCTGAGTTATGGTTCCAAAAGTTTGGACTGTATCTAAAGCACAGAGTGGTTCAAAGCAGTGATTCTCAAAACTCTGGTTAACTGGCCCCAACGATCCGTGAACCTTAATGAATGAAGTCTTATTTACCGAGAACAGAATACATTGACTTTGTAATTAGCTTTATGATTATGAAGGGATCCCTTGAAAAAAATCTTCCCGGGGCCAAAAGGTTTGCCAATCCTTGGTTTAAAGCAGTGGGAGGTCCTCCAGTCTGGCTAAGCTAGCATAGCCGTTATTAGCGGGTATTTTCAACTGCTGCATTTGATTATTGATACTGTTTCCTTTGCAGTTGGTCCACATGACTTAGTTTGCACGTCTATATTTGCATGTGTGCGCTTGTGTATGAGTCGTGTGGGTTAAGGGGGCTGTCGGTGGGAGTGGTGATCTAAAAATAGCATTCCCCCCCCCCCCTCCTTCCTAGTGGTTCTCTTAGGGCAGTGTTGAAATTCTTCTGGTCAATCTCCACAAGGGGACTCTTAATGCGACTCGTTGACAGTTTGAAAACTCCAAGCAGTGTGTTTCCAGTTGACTTTCCAGGCGTCAACTGCGGATTCCAACGTGGAGGTGGCAAGTTGGGAGATAAAGCCAAAACTCTGGTCTGAAAGTTCACGTGTTTCTTTGGTGCTACGCCACCTCTGATCCGGCCCGGCGTACCCAGCGAGGAGATCGTTTGACCATTCCTTGTGGTCGACTTTCATCCAAACTGAGCTCATCTTCGCCTCGGCTCGGGGATTAAATGTGCTCTCATGAGACTCTCTGGATTTTCTTTGCCTTCCCTGTGGGATGATGGAGCTCCTCACCTTTAGCTTTGGTTAACCATGTCGGACCAGCTGGTTAAAAGCTTATTTCAGATTTACTCATCTTCAGTCAGGATCTTCTACTTTTGGTCCATTATGAAAGCTGTACTCGACAGACTTTAGGTTCCACTTGTCCCAGTGTTCCTCCATCCCGGTTTTCTCCAGTTTTCTCTCTCGGATCATCTTAGCACCTGCACCATGGAAGTGCCGGCTAGGTGGAGCCGTGCTAGTGTCATTAGCTTCATCAAGGGTCTCGGTAAGTCCTCGGGGTGGGGGAGATCATATGAGCGCATGTTGTCCTGGTGGGGTGAGTGATCGGGTTTCATGAAAACAGGGGCCTGCCTGGGGCGTCTGACCTGATTAGTAATTTGTGTCCTCTCACCTCTACACTACCGCTGACAGCAAAGGTCGCAATCACATAGGAATTAATTTGTGTGAAAGAAAAACATTGTCAACATGCATCCCTACTTCTATGCCTTGCTAAATTCTCATGCTCCACCTTGCGTCATATGAATGCCATTTCTCAGCTGATTTAAAGTACCACTCAAATGATGAGCTCATGAGTGCTCACACCTACAAAAACATGTTTCCAGGTTTAAAGCTGATGAGACCCAGCCAACAGCTGCCCTTCTGCCAAGCCATACATATACCGATTTAGCAGTATACATACCTTACAGTACTTATATTTATACTTACAGTATTTATATTTTGATTTCTCCCTGTGGATATACAGTAGTAGGGACCTGTGAATACATGTGATCAATGTCCGTAGCTCATTGTGTAGAGTTGCAGTACAATATGCTGAATGCGCGGCCTCAAAACCCGATACAGGGTCGTAGTTTTCCATCGCAAACTGTCGGTCGATGTGCAGGTCCCAATTGCTCACTGAGCGGGTTTGAGTCGTCAGCTGTCACATTTTTTGCGATGCCTCATTCCAGTCGGGTTCAGCCACATTGCGTGGTGTGCGGCGGACCTTAGGTGCCTTAGGAGGTGATCCAGACAAACCCCGTGAGGTTGCTCGTCAGGTGGGAAAGAAGCAAGAGCAAGAAAACAAACGCTAACTATTTGTCATGACATCCCCCTATTCGCAGCCTCTCCGGTGGGACTGAAGCCACCCGTCCCGCCCGTCACAGCAAGCCCGGGAGAGAGAAAAGGTCCTGTCATCATGGCGCCCGTCAACGTGGACCCAGAGAGCAAGCCGGGCGAGTTTGTCCTCAAGAGCCTCTTTGCCAACTTCACGCTGCTGTCTGAGCGCAAGATCCGCATCATCATGGCGGAGCCACTGGTAAGCCATTTTGCATGTATAGAAAGATAGAGTGGCTTCCTTTTTACAGCAGGAAGTGTGGATCAATGTACTTTAATGTTAACGCAGACAAAGCGACATGTCTATCCGCTTGCCAGGTGCCCGTCTCCTCCTAGAATGCACTTGGCAGACCTTTTTAGGTGGACTTATTGTTCTCATTTTAATAGTGCACAATGATGCTGTTGATAAACAAGAGGCGTAATAAATGAAATTCTTCACAAATGTATACAGTGAACCCCAAATTTTTCATGTGTTATTTTTATAGGAGAAACCGCTGAACAAGTCTCTGCAGAGAGGAGAGGATCCACAATTTGACCAGGTTTTGGCACACGCGATGATGACATCACCACCACCGACAACAACAAACATGGAACCTGTCAATCACGCGACTCTCTTCTCCCCCCCGCCCGCTCACTCCGTGTTTGTATTTGCAGCTGATCAGCAGCATGAGCTCCCTGGCAGAGTATTGTTTGCCCTCCATCCTCAAGACGCTCTTCGACTGGTACAAGCGGCAGAATGGCCTGGAGGACGAGTCGCACGAGTATCGGCCGCGGGCCAACACCAAGTCGAAAAAGTGAGCAAAACCGCTCCGCTTGCACGGCAGCTTGAAAAGCTCTAGTGAGACTTTTTGGCTCATGTCCCTTTTCGAGACCAAAGAAGTTAGAACTCGTTCTAATCCCTCGAGGGGAAATTAAACCATGATTGCTATTATAATCTAATTCTAATTAATTGACTAAACTTGATTTGACTTTTTTTTGCTGCCAATAAAACAATGAAATTATTTCAGGAATTTAAGGCATAACAAATGAATAAAGTGAATGTGGATGCATCATATTTAAAATAGTTTGCAAGTTGTCATCGTCCATCGTATGTGCTATAAAAATGAAGAATGATAAAATCTAAAAAATATATATTTTTTAGATTCTATCATTCTTAATTTTTAAAATATGAACTAGTGTAATAATAATACTGTATGCATAGACATAATATACATTTTAGAATTCTTTGGATCCTTATTTTAGCTTTTAATATGACATATATTTTTAAAATGAATCCCTCCCCAAAGTATTTTATGAGATTCGTTGATTTTGCAACACTGAATCAACATATTTAAATTAAACAATTTCAGGGGCAAAAATACAAATATACATTATTGTTTTTCATTTTCATTTATTCATTATTATTTGTATATTATATTTTATATTGTTTGACATTATTATATTATTATCTTATTTGTATCAATACAAAAAATACATTGACTAGTCATTTCATCATCTAGTTGAATAAATACATTTTAATCTACGAATTTTAGGTATAAATGAACATGACAAATATGATCCAACTCTTGTTCATGTAAAAGTTACCGAGTGTTTGTTTTTTTTTTTTTATGTACGTGTCTCAGCGATGAGCAGCAGAAGGACTACTTGCTGGAGCGGAGGGGTTTGGCCCCTCTCTACCTTCAGATCCCGCTGCATCCCCTGTTGGATGGACTCATTCAGGAAGTGATCAACTTGGCCTTCAAACACTTCAAATATAAGGAAGGGTAAGGGAGCGGGAGAGTCAACTACTACCCAGGAGGGCTTACTCGATGTCAGATTTTTATGCCTTAAGTATCCGTGACTGGTATCGGCAACCTCCACAAATACCTGATACCGATAGTATCGGTACTCGACCCATCTCTACTTAAAATCCCATCCTCATAATTTCCTGTATGTACACCAAATGGAGGATGTTGTGTGTCCCAGGTATCTCGGACCCAACACCGGCAATATGCACATCGTGGCGGACCTCTACGCGGAAGTCGTGGGAGTGGTGGCCCAGTCGAGGTACTATACTGTTAACTTTGAAATACTTTGCTCTGGATTATTTACAAGGAACGCGTCTGTGCGTTTGTGCTGCTGTGCTGTTTTTGTGTGTGGTTTTTTTTTTCCCCTCTCATGACTACTGCACTGCTAACCCCCGCAGTCGAGCGCGTGCGTGCCCACATATGCACATTCCCTTTTCCACACACCCACACCCACCTTCACCCATCCTCCGCATGCCTTTCTAAATATAGCCCGGCGGCGCCATGTTGATACACATCTCCTCGTGTTGTCCGTCACAAACATCACAAACTCAACAAAG